TTATTTCTGAAAGAAATTCAACTGAATCCGCTCTGTTTGTAAATATCTGATTTTTGGTTTGGAAGGGGAAATTGTTTCTTTTTTTTAAGATACGGTTCCCTTCCCCTCGATCCATATTGTGTGATTTGTGACTTCAACAAATACGTTAAAAAGTTGAAAGTTGAATTAGACCAAGGGACGATAATGCAGTATGCCTTTTGGTATTCGAATGTTGAACAAAACACATGACAGTTTTGAAGTTAAAAGCAAACTGGATATTATTTTTTTTATGAACAACAGCAGACTTTTTGCTTAGAGCACAGACTAGATTGTAAAAAAAAATCCAACACGATATCTTGAATATTTTCTCCATTCCTCCCTTTTTCTTTTTGTGGTTTAAATTCCAAAATAAAATGTATCAAAAAGCTTAACTTGAAAGGTTTTCTTGTGAGTTAAAATAAAACACCCCCAGTTTTGGAATGTTGGAAATTCACACTCAGTCTATGGCCTTCAATGTTATAGTCTATTTGTGACAAATTTACCGTTTGTTCTCGGTCTTTCTTTTAACCAGAGCTGTATGAGTAATAAACCGGGAAAGGCAATGGGTTGCGTCGATTGGGAAAAAGTGTCTTTACACCACTTCTGATTTAATTACTTCAATAACTGACTGAGTTTATATCCCCCAAACATTAAAAAAATCGTTGGGTCAAAGTAATCGAGACTGCCTGTCTGACTTAATATGATGCAAGACCGAAGTCCACTTTGATTCAGTTTACCTGAAAAAGAAACCCCTCGTACCAAGCAGAAAATGAACTATTTTCAAAAATGTGGGTTCAGTTGAATTTTGTTCCATGTCACATCTGTATAGAGATCTCAGCCGACCCGTTGAAGAGGTTTCAGCTTCGGTGAACAAAACAAAAACTCTAAAGCATACAAAACGCTTTTCGAATACCTAATAGCATTATACTATCTCATTGACCGAATTCAATCATCAGCTTCAATACTAGAAACCATCAACTGATGCCAGGATGACAAGGGTAACAATTGACTCTCACTTGTTGAACGACAATTGAACGCCTTAAAGAGTTTTCTGTCTAAAAAATGTTCCCTCATCCTCTTTATTTCGTACACTCAAAAATTGCCATTGTCAAGGTACCATTTCCTTCTTCAGGTAAAAAGTATGCCGGCTGCAGCTGTTCATTTCAAAATAATGTCCAGCTTGCTTTTAAGCTTAAAGGGGTGATACTGCTTGGAATGCGTCCAATTGGGCTACAAAACGCGTTTTGTACGAAATGATATTAAATAGAAAGTTCATTTAAAAGTAGAATATGAACGTCCACACAACCATCTTTTAAAAGTAGGCGTTTTGTGTTATTTTAGCGACTACCATGGAAGAACGAATTGGTGGGGGGGGGGGGGGGTGTTCAAAATGTTGTCCCCGAAAAATTAAGTGCTAGTTTTGATCCTGTCTCACAGTGGTTCGCACTCTGTGGATGTGTAAGAAACAACATTTATGTGTTTGTAAAGTGTGTGCCACACACACAACGCGTTTGTTTATTGTGTAAATCGAGGACACACACGTGCAAAATCATTGATGAATTGCACAACACCAATGACAGCTGTTGCAAAACCAAAGTATAAACAAAGGCAAAGGGAAGAGGAGCAATGTGAAAATCCTCGATTTACATCATAAACAAAACTGCGTGGGTATGCCACAAAATTTCCGTCGCGTCCGATGTAAACAACCGGGGCTTTTATTGTCTTTTCTCGCAAACGGTAAAACATTGTGATTGTTTCCTTTCAACCAGACCTTGAAATAGTACATTGTATAAGTAAACAATCCAAAGCATGATTTTTTTTTAATATTTACTCACACGTTCCAGTTAGCTCCATTTGGTTTACGGGTTTACTTTAATTGACCGATACATATTGGTTTCTTTCACATCTTCAAACGCATGTCATTGAGAACGTAGTTATAAATTGTTGCATAGAAGTTGGCATTTAGTACAGGCAATATAAGGTTTGACCTCAAACAAATTGCAACAGAATTTTTTTCACCACAGTGCATTTCTATAAGGTCCCTAAAATGACATACTAAAAGTCTTAAAAAATCGAGGTGGTGGAAATTTGCCTAATTTGCATAAATCCAAAATTAACGCATATGTTAAGACTTTCGCATTGATTTGGTCATATTGCTCATACTAGGTGGATTTTAGAGGTACTTTAAACAACAGTTTTAGTCCTTTTACATTGATTTACTCATTATTTAAGTCCTAGGTAAATTCCAAGATCCCTATGTTTCCGAAATTTTTCAAATGCCGTATAATTTGCATAAATGCCGTATATCAATTTGCATATTTAAAGTTAAAATAATGGATGCCATGTGTGGACATCTACCAATTGAGTGTTCCCTGATAATCCAAGTCAAATTTCACACCACAGTGCATTGCTATAAGGTCCCTAAAAAAGTTGTGAAAAATCCAAGTGGTGGAAATATGCCTAATTTGCATAAATTCAAAAGGCCGCTAATTACATGATTTTCATATGATTTGGCGCGGCCATAATAGTATATAGGCCGTTATGTACTTTTGCTTTTTTTGTTTGTTTAAGAAGTAATTTTTGCCATATTTGGAAAGAGTTTACCTCCCTAAGCCGGAAATGCATTGAAGACATTTTTTCCCAGCTACCGTGTGGCGGCCATCTTGGATTTCAAAATGACCGCCATTTCGAGCCTAATTTGTATCATAACTTCGGACTTGATTGTCACATGAAGTTTATTTTGATGGCAAACCCCATGTTTTTGATACGAAGGAACCTGAGTACATTATTGTTTATGGTGTACTCCAAATGGATGGCAGCCATCTTGGATATTTCAAATATATGGCCGCCATTTTCGGCTTATTTGCATAATAAATTTGGACTCGAATGGCGTACGAAGTCAATTTCGGTGGCAAACCCCATACATTTGATACCAAGTAATCTTAATGACCCATTGCTGATGATCTATCCCAGATGGATGGCAGCCATCTTGGATTTTTTTTCAAAATAGCCGCCATCTTGGATCTTATTTATAATAACATTGCACCTGAATGTCCTATGAAGTCCATGTATTTGAATGAATTCAAGTAAATCACTGTGGACGGGGTACTTACAGTTGATGGCAGCCATCTTTGATATGTCATAATTGCCGCCATTCTGAACTATTTGCATAATAAATTTGGACTTCAATGTCGTATGAAGTGACTATTGGTGGTGGCAAAGCCCATAAATTTGATACCAAGGAATCCAATTAGCACATTTAGGCATCCCAATTGGATGGCAGCCATATTGGATATTCAAAAATAGCGGCCATCTTTGATTTCATTTAAATAATAAGGTGGCACCTGAATGTCGTATGAAGTCCATTTTGGTGGCAAACTGCATATGTTCTTGATACCAAGGAACCCAAGTTAATCATTGTTGATGGGGTACTCCACTGGGAGTATACCCCATCAACAATGATTTTCGTGGGTTCATTGGTATCAAAAACATGGGGTTTGCCACCAAACTGACCTTCATATGACAATCAGGTCCGAAGTTAGATACAAATTAGGCCCGAAATGGCGGCCATTTTGAATTCCAAGATGACCGCCACATGGTAGATAGAAAAAAAAAATGTTACCAATGGATTTCCAGCTTAGGAAGGTAAAGTCTATTGAAATAATTATGAGAAAAATTCCTTCTTTAGCAAAGAAAAATGCAGTGGCCAAAAATATGACATAATATGCTATCTAGTAATAACTCTCGTCATAAGTTGCTTTTCGGGGTACTTTAAACAACATTTTGTCATTTGACATTGGGGTCATTCAGTGTGAAATCACCCCCCAAAACTTTTAAATTTGAAACCCCAACCTCTTCAAATTGGATCATATTTAGTTTATGAGGTAATTTCGGCTGAAAAGCCGAAATTTTAAGTTTTAGCACCATCGGACAAACAGTTTTCGCGCTACCGCCCAGGCAATTTTGATCAAAATGGACATTGCTGCCATTTTTAAATGACCATATTTCTATAATCTGTGAGTCAAATGTGTTCATCTTAATTTCAAATTGTTGTTCAAAGTACTCCAAAAAGCAATGCAGGACAAGAGTTATGGCCAAATAAAAAATCATGTAATAAGTGGCCATTTTGAATTTATGCAAATTAGGCATATTTCCACCACTTGGATTTCTTTCCTTTTTTAAGGAACCTTATAGCAATGCACCATGGTGTGAAATTAATGTATGTACATGACTGGACTTGGATTATCAGGGAAAATGTTATTGTGACATGTCCACACATGACAGCCATAATTTTAACTTTAATCTATGCAAATTAATAAATGGCATTTATGCAAATTATTATCGGCATATCGCAAATTTGGGAAACATAGGGATATTGAAACTTACCAAGGTCTAGAATAATGAGTAAATTCGCCTGATGATCGCCACGCAGTGTGCGTGTGCGTGAAACCAATGGCAGCAGAATAGACTGAACCTATATGTTATATATAGATTCATATATATATATCATATTGCAGATAGTATATATATTACAGCATAATAAATAAATATAAATCATCTACAGATCTTTTCTGAAGTCAATGGGCATCTCAATAATAAATTAAGATCAACTCTCTGTGTTTAGTATTAAATATATTGTTGCAGCATCACTAAATATTCCATTATAAAGTAGCAAAAAAAGTGGTACTGGGTGTGGTTAAGAAACACATTAGAAAACTACTTTCCACCACTCGGATTTCTTAAGACTTTTAATATGTTATAGAGGAGATTTTTCTGAGTAATAACCTTTTTAAATGGTTTCTGTTGCAATTTGTTTGAGGTTACCCCTTAATTTTTAACATAATGCCTGTACTAATTGCCGATGATAATTTTACTGATGCATACGACCTTTATTCACTTATCAGATTGTTCTGATTTCTAAAAAAGAAATTACCAAAATACAGATATTTCTAGTGTCTCGCTTTTACTCTTTTGAACTGCAGGACTTTATTCAAGCAGAGACATCATCAGTTGTGCTATCACCTCCAGAAAACGAAGGGGAACTTCAAGGTGTGTAGACATAAATCATATGTGGATAATGTAATTCAACCCAGCTCGAAATAGTACACGTCACATTGCAACCCAGCTCAATTAGTATACGTCAAATTTGTTAGAATAGCAGTGTGTTTTACGTTAAAATTATATGACACTGTCTTTGTGTTCAGATTTGAATGTTTACAATCAAGTTGAGTAGGAAACTATAGTAATTCAGCATTTTTTTGAGAACTTCCAAGCAGTGGAGGCAGCAAACCTTTACGTAAACTCATGATTTGAAGGCCACTCAATCACCCATTCCGAGTAGTTTTCTTGATGGTTTGCATTGACTCTAACCAATGTTATGTTTACAGTGTAACTTGCATCCTGATTTTGTTTACAGGCAGCCCACCCACTCCGGCAACACACCTAAACAGGATCCTTCAGGAACACGACAACTTCGCCAAAGACTGCAGCGAAGACACACTGAAGGATAACACCTTTCAGTTGCCGTACATTGCAATCGGTTACTTCGACCATGATGGTGGAAGCCTGTCCTTAGACAAGTACAATGTCCACCTGTACATCCCTCGTGGCGCACTTCCCAAAGATTCACTACAGCAGGTGTACATCTACGTCAACCCTAATGCGCCACCTGTTGACGGGATCGATCCGTCAGATTGTGTCTTGTCACCGATGATCCAGTGCGGCCCAACAGGTCTGGAGTTTCTGGACAGCGTGGTGCTGTCATTCCCTCACTTTGCAAAGGAGGGAAGCGGATGGGAGCTGCGTGCACAGTTGTGCAATGACGAAGAAGGCTCGCTCAAAACCTGGAAGACTCTAGCTGCAGGTGTTGACGGCGAGGTGGTATCGACTAAAGACAAGACCGTCGTTCTCCTGATGAAGCATTTCACAGGGGCAGCTCTAGTTGGCCAACCTTCCGCAACGAGCACCAAGATAATGAAGGCTGGAGTGTTTGGGAGCCCCTTTGATCCGTCTGATGGTCGTTATAGCTTCCGGTTTCGCCTCTGGAACGTTGAACCAGTTGTAGGAGAGGTACTTAAATTATTTGTAGTATTTTCATATGAGTTCAAGAGAACACCGTGGCATTGTGCAGTGTTTTAAAAACAAGGTAAAAACTGAGATAATATCTATAAGGTGTACTATTACAGGCTGACAAGAAATGCGCAGGCGGCAAAATGTTTGAACATGATCCTTTGAAACATAACGTGCAAAACCTGTGCTTTATTTATGTGTCACAGAATGTTTTTGAAATGGAAAAGGAAATGAGCTCCGAGCAGCTGGACGCTTCCAAATTACTGAAAGTTTGCAGATCAGGAGACGTCCACGCTGAAATCGAGAACATCAAGGAGGGTTGGGAACTGGCAATTCCTTGTTTACAGGTAGTAGGCAAACTGTTAATCCACATTTTCTGTGTGATTGTAAATACATTTACCTGCAGATCAGAGCCTTTCCTAGTTAGGACAACTCCCACTGTCGAAGTATGGCGTCAGGTTAAAAAAAAAACTGGCTTATACAAAAAAATGCCAGCAGTTCAACAACAACGCCGGTCAATTTTCTCATCATGTTTGAGGCAAAGCATGCGGTACCGAAGTTTAACAAGATAGAAACGCAGGCGAACCACTCCTGATACTTTGCCTGTGTTGCATGGATTCAGTATCATCTCAATTGTCGCGAAATGGAGCATTTGTGACCAAACCATGTCCTTTAAAGGGAATGTACATTATTGGCTTTTGCTGTTATTTTCAGAAATGAACTGGGGGGGGGGGGTTAGTATAATATATCAAATATTGTTACACTGACATGTTCGAAGTTTTGTGTTCGAAACTGCTGGAAAACCAAGAAAATTAAAAATTTGTTCAAGTAGTCTTGTTCCCCGACTCTACCAAACATGAAATGGATCAAAAATGCAGGAAATTGTAAGGTAAGGGAACCAGTCTAGCTGGCCTGCACCAGTTCATGAACATAGAACCAATAGCAAACAAAATTTGGACTGAAAAACACCCGGTAAATTTGGAACAGTTGGGTTTTTCCAACGGTGGTCGGCCGACTACCGTTGGAAATGTATACAAAAGTACCATTTTTCTTGAAAATGACTTGACACCAGGTGCCCTAATTTACAGGATGCTTTAGACTGTAATTTAACAACATCCTAGTAAGGTATTTCGTAACAACTTGGTAGTTTTATTTTTCAATGTTTGCAAATGTTGTATTTTCCCTTTAAGATGGAGTATATTCTATTACATGTGGCAAGCCATCTATACAAATGATTGACTCAGGTAGCAAATGTCGCAAAGGAATTGAATGTTTTTATGGTAAAATCACTATTGAATTTCAATTCCCGAACACAACGTAATCTTACAAAAAATATCGCAATTGTTATTTAAAAAAATCATCATTCAAACTTTTTTTTTAATATTGATACATTTCTGCATATTAGAAACAGACTATACCAATCGAAAGAATCTGGAAGTTGCCAACGGACTTTGTGACCTTTCACCTTGATCGCCGAAATGTCAACGAAGCTTCATCTTGCAAAGGTCCTTCTTGCGAAAGTTCCATTTTCCAGAGTAGCATCGAAACTGGAGAAGCTTCAAATGGAGACAAAGCTCACTTCATCATTATACCACCAAAGGTATGTCTTGAGGGAAAATGTTCATTAAAAAAACCCATTTTTGTAATGTAATTTTTGAACAGTATTTTAAGTGCTCCCACTGTGTTCCCACTTTTTTCTAGATAGAACTTTACTTAATTTGAATCTGAAGCCACTTGTCAATGCATACCGTGGTATTTTTCTGCCGAAACCGAATTTTTTTTTTTTTTTTAATTGCATGTTAACAGTTCCGAAATAACTTTATTCGGGGCTTACACCCCCACTTTGGTAAATCAACATAGGTGTAATTAAGCAAAGATCAACACTTCTCGATTTAGAGCTGTGCTCCGTGATGAGACATGGGTCGTATGGCGGCTGCCTAAGGCGCCTTCACATGATATCGGCTCGACGGCTCGTCCCCATTGTACATGTATATAGCCAGGCCCTTGCAATTCGGCTTCTCAGCTGCCGGTATTAAGGACTTTAAGTCTCCCCCAAATATTTTTTTAGTCCACATGACACTGGTGAGCATCTGGTAATCGATGTGTTTTACCTTTTCTGGCTTACCAACAAACGATTGTGAAGTTGGCATGTCCCCTAATAAAAAAAAAAACTGTGTTTATTTTCACAAATTCATTTTAAAATAGGTGAAAGAATCGAAACGAGAGAGAGACGAGCAGAGTCCTTGCTACAGTTGCCGACAAGTATGTTTAAAAGTTTGGAGAGATATTGGCTTTTGAAAATTAGCTTGTAATTCGTTAGATATTTGGTAGTTTTCGGACTGAAGTCGAACTGATAACAGAAATACATTTAGTTAAATGCGCAACAAAACGAGAATTATTTTCGAACTATTATCGAGCGATATATCGGATTCCGGTCGATATTTTTAGATATTATTTTTGAACTATTTTCATAAGCTTACATGGAAATTAAAATTGCCATATTTCAGGTGAAATAGAAAATATGTCCTTATAGTACGGTTTAAGATAAACTTTACTATAAATTTGTACTTAAGTTTTATATAAAAGGTGAGCCTTTGTTATCTTTGCGATGCGTGACTTTCATTTTCATGATTATTGATGTTTGCCCTCACATGGGAATAGAAATAAAAGTTTCATAATATTTGACTCCTTGAATCCTCAATTTAATTATTTGGTTTTGTTTTAGGATGCAGCCCACGAAATCTGCCCATCGTGTAAGGTGAGTTTCTGCACGTATGTGTAAAACAGATGGTTTTTTTATGGCAAAAGTAAAGTCAGACGCACGGCCGAGACATTTTGGTGAAAGACTTCTGACTAAAGTCTTTCCCGTTGTTCTTTTTTTCTCTCTGCTATTTTTTTTAACATGTCGGGCCTATGTTTTATTTTGTATACGTTTGTGTTAAACATGGTGTTAGAAAAACAGCAGAGAAGCAGCAAGTATACCGTAAAAGCTACCACATTGAGCCTCTTAACGCGCTACAATGTCCATAAATGTTTGCAAAAACAGCGTTTATATGTATTCAAAAGTTAAAAAAACACAATAGGTTTTAAAGTGTATGGACTGATATGGCCTCACACTTGTATGTTTATTGATTGTCTTTTAAGGAGGCAATGATAGGCGTTCGAGTTCCCAAGAAGCGAGAGTTGTCGGACGGCGATTATGGAGGCTTATCGGAGGAGTTGGTACGCACTCTCTCTCAACAACGAGACATGGCCAGAGTGGTGGTGGGGCTAGCAGATGTCGGCCACAGCGTAATGCAAGCACAGGATTCCTTAAAGGTCTTCTTTGGACGTCAGAGGGCACGTGGCGTCCAAGACAGGACGGCTGTGAAGCGTCTGCTGGAATCTCTTGATAAGCACATTGTGAAGAAAGTTAGGGAGGAGCTGCAAGGGGCAGGTATACAGACACGTTTTGGGTCAAAGGGACTTTTCTTTGACCTTTTTGCGGCGCTTTGTTATGTCCTGATACCTGAGCAAAAGTGTCATTTCGACCCGCAAAAGTGTCAAGCCAAGTAGAACCCTGATTACCGATAGGATTGGACCAATGACAGTTTAGAGTGTGATCGCTTTCAGTTGTATCACGCCTCTTCAGAGACAACAAAAAACGCCGAAACTTTACTCAAAGCTAGTCCATGAATTACAGATGTGCATTTTGAGGACTGCCAATGCTAAAACTTGTCAAAATTGGAGGCTTCTGAAAAGTGTAAACCGTCACATTGTTTGATAAGCCCCACTAAGTCCCCGTGCCGTCCAGACAAGACCACTTTTAATAACTGTAGTTAATGCAGGTATCAATTTACTTTCGAACTTAATTATTTCGGTACAGCCTAAAGTTGATTCAACTTTTTAAAGAAAACAAAATAGAACGACAAATACAATGATTGGTTTTGAATGTCTACAGAGTCAGCTGTATTGGGATGTGCTACGAATTGGCCGCAGTTTTTCGCATCACGATGGAAGGAATTCTAACACTGCCACAATGTTAAACCAACGTCTATTTTCTATAAATTAGCAATCTCTGGACATGTTGCTATGATGGGAATTTCATTGCCTAGGGGTGATAAGAACCCAATGAGTAATGAAATAAATAAGGTCTGGAAAATGATCCCCCTCAAGAAAAATAATAATAAATAAAGAAGCGGAACCGACAGCGAATAATGGCCGTAATCTTGCCGTAATTACTACCCTTTATGATTATGAAGAATAGTGGCCGGAGTAACAAAATACTCTCATATCATTGCAAAAAGAGACTAAAACTGTTTCATATTGCTCCTGCCCCAGAAAACTCGCCAGATGATGGTTCCATATCGAAGGGAAGGACTGATGATTGTTCTTGGCTTGCCGTGAGTATCCTGCTTGGCAGTTTCTATTGGTCGATACAAAGGAAAGATAGAATACTCCATTGTGAATTAGTGGATCACGACGGAGGAAACTGAACGTTTCGTCCACTGTTTTGGTCTGTTCGGATGTTTCATTTTTCTCCATTAACTCAGGCACTATAGCGATGTTTCCTGTCGTCATTTGCGTGACTTTGTTTCAAATTATGTTTGTTTCTTTTATTTCTTTTACAGTCGGAAATTGACGACGAGAAACGCTTCCGTTGGCTTGCCTCCAGATTGGGACCGGAGTGGGAGGCACTGGCAACAGAGTTAGAATGCACTAATGCAGACCTGTTCAAGATTAAAGAAGATAACAGATATGACGTCAGTAATCAGATCTTTACGATGCTTGTCCAGTGGAAGCAGCGGTGGGGATGGTTGGATAACCGTATCTTAGCCGGGGCCTTGGAGAAGGCTGGACGACGGGATCTGGCACAGCAGTTTTAAGGTGAGACCACCAGTTATTCCATAACACCGGAACGATAATAGTATTGTTTCAATTTATATATCTTTTAAAATACAGGGTGACCCAAAAAAATGCAACCCTAAAACATTTGCGGTTAAAAAAAAGAGATCAGTGGATTTTTATGTTTTGGGTATCAAATTAAAGCTGGGAGTTTTTCCTTTAAAATACTTAAGCAATCATGAAAATAGTATTTTTAGTTGCTGAGAAAATGCCAATTATGTAAAAGTAGTCACTATTCATCTTGTACAAAAATAATACAACATAAAGGGGTTTTCACTGTACATGCATGTCCTAATCCTTAAAAACAACATGGCACATAATATGACAAGAGTACGAATGAATTGGATGGAAATACTTTTTGTTTTCCACGCGAACAGATATTTCATCCTTTTTAGTCCTAGTTTAAACCGTTTCAATATCATAGATATTTCAAAATATTAAATACATTGCAAAAATGAAGGATAATAGCTCAATATATGTTTACAGTAAAAGTTTTTCTCTCCGTTGAGTTTCCCAACTCTTTCACAACACTCTGCAATCATTGCAGTACTATTTCCTTTTTTTCTTTTTCTGTTTTTGCAACAAAAGTGCATTTTACAGAGCAACTAATATTCACTCAATGCCACTTAATCTAACTTGACTTTTGTTTGTACTTTTGATTTCATTGACAGAGACGACGTCAGAATCTAGGAAGAAATAAATAAAAACGAGGTAGTATATCTGGATGATATTTTTTACCTTATATAATGAGTCTGTTTTCGAAGGTAGTAGACAATAAAATGACTTGGTGGTCCTAACGTTTTGCTTGTTTAATTGCTTTTTAAGTCAGTCTTTTGGTACTAGTGTTTGAATGGGATTTGAAAACAAACTGCCAGCAGGAATTATGACTAAATATGCACGAAAACGACACTTTTTTTGTCGTTGTGAGTTGCTTTAATCGTTGTCAACCACTGCAACGTGTTCATACATGCTGCTTGTATTTGAAAAAAAATTATGCAAAAAGAAAATGGCGTCTTTCATTTGATATTTCGCATCTGAATGCCGTTGTTACTAAGACCCGTTACTAAAGTAGATTTATCGGCTGTTGTAATGTTGAAATTTAAAAAATAGAAAGAAAAATATGATTTTAAGAGTTGCTGAAAAAAAGGTGTGTTTTTAATCAAATTATGTCTGGTAATGAGCATTTTTTTTTTTTAGTAATTAATGAGTACATATGAGAAGATGAGGTAAATTAGATTTTGAAGTCAAATAATGAGGAAGATTTTTATACAAAAGCGAAAAGTAAATTTACTTCATTTTGTTTTACCTATTATTTACAATCTTTGGACCCTTTTCAAGCACGCTGAAATACACCTGTATAGATACTGTTCTTCTCATATGCTAATTATAGTTACAAGTTATTTCAAAAAGACGTAATTGTAATCCTTTTAGTTACACATACAACAATTTATTTCAAGGTGCGTCTTGGATTATTTGTCAAGTTAGATATGTACAGTTCAAGAACATTTTGACACAGGTTGATGCCTCACTGCGACAGTAAGAATGATTTAAAATATATTGGTGCCTTCTATTAATAAATAATTACCTGTGGATTTTGTCTACATGGCTTTTCAATGTTTGGCTGATCCACTATTTCAAATACAAACTTAGAGGTACCGTTATTGCAACCTTCATAAATGTAAACTTGTAAAATAAAATGATTTCGGCAACAATGCCTAATACAGCCTGGGACTGTGGTGTAAATTGTAAAGCTTGCATTTTTTTTAGGGGGGGGGTAGGGGTGTTGGTGGTGGGAGGGCCTTAAAACAACGACGATTACTCGGTCTTCAAAGTTGCAATGGAAAGAATACAGTATCCCATCATCACCTTTTCATCATATTGTATAAGCGATGCTCAATTGTTGGAAAAAGTGTGTACAAATATGAATGTTAATAATGAGGAACATTTCAAAATTTGAAAGAAAGCAATTAAAACATGTCAAAACTCCTGTACAATATATTGTTTTCTTTGATAACAAACGAAGTCTATCATCACAAGTTATCGGGGATGTGATTAAACTAAATACATACAGACCATTACAATGAATGTTTAATGACCCCGTTAATGTTTTACTGTTACTATATATTATTTTCGGTCTATAGCCAGCAGCTTCGTTCTGTTGTATTCTATTTCTGTTTGGTATCATGTTGCTTGTGTAGTTTACGCACTTTGTTTGTGTTAACTCGTCACTCGTCTATCAGGTTTTAAAGGGTCTTTTGCCTGTTGCTCTTGTCTGTCTATTGGTTGGGTACTTCCGTGGATTAGGGTGTCACTTTGTCCATTTTGCATTTGTTTTTGTATGTTAGGTTGTTGAATTGATTAATGGTTGTTTGTGTTTCTGTTTGTTTATTTGTTGGGCTGTTGGTTGATATCTTTGCCTCCGTGTATGCCATTTTGTTTGTTGGTCTGGTTGTCTGTTTTAATTCTTGTGTGTTATTTGTTTGTATTTGTTATTGTTCGAGTGTTTGCGTCATTCTTATTGGGTTGGTGTATTTTCCCTTAAAATTTATATTTTAATCTTTGGGTCATTAATATTTTTATTAGTTAGTCTTCAATTTTGAGTTAAAGATGAGTTTAAGTTCTAATGATTCTGTTATATTTTAGCTCTTATGGTTCTTAAAACGCTTTCATGCTTTTTATGTACTGAATAAGGCTTATTTTTGCGCATTTTGTGTTAATTTTGAAATGTAATATGAATGCTGTTTTGGTAACATTTTATAGGTTTTTAGTTAATTGCTAAATCATGTTATGTAGTGTGAAGCGCCTTTAGCGTCATAGTTTTCACGGATTTTATTATATATCATTAGATAACTCAACATACTGTTTCACCTTTGTATCAGTGGTTTTCAATGAAGATTTGCTGTCCATATTCTCGACCAGTCGATTTGACAGCTCCGCATCTGGCATAAAATAAAGTCTTCAAATTCAAATAATTCTCTTTATTTAAAATAGCTACCTTCTAGAAATGTAGTGCTGTACTTTTGTGTATTATTTGCAAACTATTGGCATCAACATTAAACATTGACAAACCACATTGTTACTTCATACTGTTGTCAAACGCAACGTTTATTGTCATTACAGGTGGGTTCTCTGCAGCGTATCCATGAGTTTGTTTCTGCATTCAATAGGGGACGTTGAACAATAGAGGACAATAGGGTCCCGAATTCCCGAAGGTCCCCAATTTGGCAATGTGTACAAACATTTGGGGGGTCTTCCTAAAAAGTTGAGGTACAAACAAAAGAGGGACAATAGGGGGTCCCCGATTGCAGGCAAATACACACTTGTATGTTTTGTGGGCGATTGTTAGTGGTGTAAACCGAGGACACACACGTGCATTGGTGAATCGAGGACAGGAACCAAATCGAGGACGACCTCGATTAAAAATTGGGTACAAAACCAACGAGAGCTCTTTCGAAAAAGTTTGAGTACAATCAAAAGAAAAGGGAAGAGGAACAACAAAAAATCATCGATTTTCATCATAAACAAACGTGTGTGTGCTCTTGTATGGCATTACGATTGAGGACAGACCCACAAAAGGATAACAAAAGATCCTTTCAATTCCTTGAACGATGGTGCTTTTGTTCGAAACTGTCTTCGATAGTACGTTTACGTGCTTAGTCCATTGGAAATGTAAAAGTACAGGGACAAAGGGAAACACAATAGGTTGTCCTCAGGCGTAAAGTACAACACGACTGCGTGTGTGTGTGTGTGGGGGGGAGGGGAATTCACGGGCGTTTTCATCGAATTTGATTGGTTGCTGTGACATTTTCCTACCTGACAGCTTATTGCTTGAAGGTGGGTTGGGGCAGCCCCCAAAACAAATCGTCGCATCGCAATCGCCCCCACTGGACATTTTTTTAGCCCTATAAGTCACCACGGTTAACGGGTTTAATAGAAATTGAGTGCTACCTACTGTAACATCCAGCCCCCCCCCCCCCACTCGCCCCTCCCCTGTGTGCATACACAAAAGGCATTACAATCTCTGGGAAAAATATAGGACTGGTTCAGCCGTCGAAATTCGAAAAGCGACCGGGGGTTTGGTTTGGACTGCACATCATGTGACACTAGGGGGCGGAATTCATGATGCGAACGTTCATGCTGTGTGCTTGAACTTACGTACAAAAGGTGTAATGTAAGCTTCTGTGCTGTTTGTTCTCCGTTTTTCAAAATTATTGAATTTGGACCATTAGAAAGTTTAATAGATAGTAACCTCAAATTCAGCATTTTTCTTTCTCACCAAAAAAATGGGGAGGGGGGTGTCGATTCAAATCCTCCCCACATCACAAACTGTATGGCAATGGTCTCACTGATTTCCATGTTTACAATCTCGATAGCTCATTGGCACTCCCATTACAATGGAATTGAAAAGAAATCTGTCCTAATCTGGCCGCAGTCTTTATTATTTTCTTTAAGTTGATTGTAATTTAACCTCGTCCCCAGTGCTTACTTTATTTCCAACCTCGTTTCCAATAGCAACCCCTGGATAGGAAACTGATTCAATACCGCAATTTGCTGGTAATGGATTTTTATCGTGTAGTTGGTGTTGTTATTTCCAACGTGCATAATGTGACGGAGCACGAAGTGTATGTGATAAATTCAATGCAACCACTGTCTGTATAATGACTGTATTACATCGAGTCACCCACACTTTACGTATTGGCAGATCCTGATCGCTGATTGGTCAGTTGGACTTAGGCACTATTGTATGGCAGAGTGAATTTGTATTGGGGGCTATAGGATAGCGGGTGAACTCAGGGGTATAAAAGCAGCTGCATGACAGGATTTTAGGCAGATGATTCAAAGATGATTCAAGTGATAACTTAATGATTGGAGCAAGTAATTGGGGTTTAAGTAATACTAGACAAATAAGGATGATGATGAGGATTGATTAAAGGCATGACCATTGCTTGTGATCTTCTGACTCCGATTCCACTCATTCCAC